TATGAAAAGCCAAGAGCCAACATCGTTCTCAATGGGGAGAGATTAAAGGCATTCCTTTTAAGAACAGGAACCTGCAGTACTAAATGACCTGGTAGAGTCTTTTGTTAATATATACTATGACCTTAAAATGGTTCATAACAAACGGATTCTACTTTGTAGAACATACCAAATTCTTACTATTATGATAAAGATGTTTTATTATAATTGGAGTAGTTCTTTAGTGTGTTTTTTTTAAATCCATAGAAAGGTATACTGTATGATATACTAGGATAAACATTTAACTAATTGACATTAGTTCTAAACCACAGATGACATACAAATTTGACTTAAACTCAGGACTAGAATTCATGTATAGTCAGGGAATGGCTGTATACTATATACTAAGACAAACATTTGACTAACTTTAGATGCAAACTATATTCAACTTGTAACTTAAGTACAAATTCAATCTAAAGACAAGTTTAGGAACAGAACTATCTTATCTTGAATGTCTTATTTTATAAAGCTTTAAAAGAAACTTGGGCCCAGAAAGATTAAATGACTTGCGACTCATAGCGAACCGATGTACAACATCCCTAAACTCTGCTCTGTCCTGTGCCAATCGCACTGTCTCCGACACACCCATCCCGATTACCCCAGTCATTGAATCAATCCACCTCATAGAGGGCCTTTGTCTCCTGTGCTGTCCCTCCACCCTCCCAAGCATGATGTCCCTCTCTAAGGACCGGTCCCTCCTTACATATCCAAAGTATATTAGACAAAGCCTCAGAAACCTCACCTCCAAGGAGCAGCCCGGTATAACCCTCTCAAGGATGAATCTAGGAGAGCTCTGGTGGCCTAGTGGCAAGGAGCTGCAACTACAATTCCAGAGGCGAACAGTTCAAATCCACCAGATGCTCTGCCGGGGAAGGAGGGACAATCTCCTCCTGTACCAGTCAGATCTGATTTGACGGTACACGCACACAAAAATAATAAAATTTAAAAAAATTTTAAAAAAAAGGATGAATCTGTTTGTTTTCCTAGCAGTCCATGGTACCCTCAATACTCTTCTCCAGCACCATAGCTCAAAGGCATCAATTCTCCTTCTATCCTCTTTGGTCATTGTCCAACTCTCCAATGCAAGTGATTGCAAAGACCATATCCTGTATCAGACACACCCTAATCTCCAGAGAGACACCACTGCTCTTCAGTACCCTGGAGAGGTCCCTAACAGCCGACTTTCCCATTGCAGTATGTCTTTTAATTTCCTGGCTACTGGTGCCAAGAGTGTTGACCGTGGAACCAAGTGAGCTAATGCTGTGAACAATCTCAATCTCTTCACCATCCATCCTGATGCTGCCAATTCGTCTGGAGGTGCCTTCTTGACATTGAGCCTCAATACATATTGAAGGCTCTACTTGACCCTCTGCAGCAAGCACTTCAGGTCCTCTTCAGTTTCAGCAAGCAGGGTTGTGTCATCTGCATAAGGCAGATTAGATTGTTGGTAGATTTTCCACCAATCTTCACCCCACATTTCTCCTCATAGAGCCCAGCCTCCTGGATAATCTGTTCTGCATACAGGTTGAAAGGGCATGGAGCAAGATACCATATGCCCTTTCCAATTTTGAACCATGCAGTGTTTCCCTGCTCTGTTCTGACGACTGCCTCTTGGTCCAAGAATAGGTTTCGCATTAGCACGATCCAGTGTTCTGGGATTCCCATTCTTCTCAGAGTCACCTACAGTATGTTAAGACTTAGTGGTAAGAAACTGCACTGTTTGGGGGTTGTGGGGGATGATTATGCAACAATGAAAGGGTTTTTTGGGGGAAAAAATGAACTGAGAGAGGGTGTAGGGAGGAAAATATGCATAAATGAATGAATGAAAATCTAATTTTTCTGTACACTTTATTTAAAATCACAATAAAAAAAGAAACTGTATTGCTAACACAAAGGTACCCAGTTAAAATTACGAGCTGTTCTCTGAGAGAAAGATTGGCAATCTTCTCCGACGCGATTTATTGCCTCTGAAAACCTGCTAGATGGCCAGCTATGAGTCAGCTCTGACTCAATGGTATAGAACAACAAACTGCCAAAAAGACTGCAAAAATATGCATCTAGGATGAAAAAGTATCCTTGCCCTCCGACACAGATAAAGATGCTTAGAATGAATGTTTTATAATTTTAATAAAGCATAATTTAAATAACCAGTAAGAAAGAAATATAAACAAAATTCAACCAATAAAAATAATGCTCTTCCAGGCCTCCGTGCATATGAAGAAAAAAATATCTTAAGTTATACTTACATTAATATGATTCTGTTCAAGCAAATTATTTATACTCATAGAAAAAGCACAGTGGACAGCACCTCCCCTCCCAAAATCCCCCTTTGAATTTGGGGGTTTGTTTGGAGTAATGGAGATGATCTTTTACACTTTCTCAAGTTGGCTAAGAATGACTCAAAGTATTTCACCAGTCTAACACAGCATTTTTCCCTTATCTCTTGAATCAGAATGTATTTTACAACTGATAGCAAATTCCAGTTTAACAGAAATATTTCTATTTTCTTACTGTCACATGAATATTTCATCTTATATTAAAAATTAAATTATATGAAAAGTAGCAATTTTATAATTGAAAAAGAAAATGATACAAACATATGCATATATATGAAATAGATCAACCAACAAATGAGTTTTAAATGATGTACATACAGAAATCTAAAGTCACACACACAAGAGTTGTCCAAGTACTGTGTTTTTCTCCTTAGAACAGAATTTTATCTATCTACCTCCAAGCCATTCTTAGTCACCATTCTAGCTCACACTTTACAAATCTCACTTCACATTTCCTTGTAAGGAAGTGCCAAGAAAAGCAAAATTTTCTGCACTCTTAGGTGTACAGCTTTAATTTTTTTTTTTTTGCATTTTATTTTTTTTATTAAAAAGGTGTTAAATAAAATAGTGATCAATTATATATAAAACTGAACAGGAGTCCATAGTTCAGGGAGGGGAAGGCTCAGAAGGTGGAGGCCGGGAGGCGGTCACAGCGCCTGGTTCCTTTTCTTCATACCGAGGAGGAAGCTCAGAAGGCAGGTGTGGAGCGAGCGGGATCTCAGAGGCTGAGTTAGTCCCAGAAATGGTAAAGATGGAGTCGCTTCCTCTCCGAGAGGTGGCACCTTGGCCTTCAGGGGCTGGGGTCCCATAATTAAAAATACTGTAGTACGGAGGTGGATTCTCTCTGGAAAGCACACCATTGGCCCCACGACTTCGTGTTCCCACGGATGCTGAAGCCTCAGGAAAGTAAGGTGGTGGAGGCGGCGGAAATATGATCACCGCATCACCTACAGTGACCGGGACTGGCTCCGTGCTCTGCGTCTGTCTCTCTTCACTTTCCGTGGCATCCTGTCCCATGCGCAAGATGTTTTTTTTCTTAACGTGGGCGACCACAAAGAAACACAGCCCCACGAGCACAACCAAGGGCCCCATGATCTGTAGAGTCAGGAATCCACACAGCTGGGGATCCGTGTCAGCAGCGTCTGACTCATTCAGCAGCTCCTGCGTCCAGTTTGAGCCACATCCAGGGAGCCAGATGCCCAGTATGCTGATCAGCAGGCCGCTGGTCAGGAAGAGAAACCCAAAGATGAGGCACTGAGCAAACTGGCGGCTCTCTCCACAGAGGAAGGCCTGGTCGGGGTCCGCCAGGCTACCTCTCCGCCGCTCCTCCAGGAGCTGGATCTGGGCCCGGGACCGGGCCAGGATTATGGCCCCCAGCCCCACCACAGCACACGAGGGCCCGGCAATCTTCAGCACCGTGCTGCAGCTGGTGAGGGTTTCGTGTTGGCAGGCCTGGAATCCAAAGATGGACAGCAGGACTCCCACACACAGCATGGTGGCACCAGAGATGAAGAGGAAGAAAATGAACTTCCCTGTGTTCCTGTGGTGCTGGTCCCCACCGGGTTCAGCTGCAGCCATGGGAGACATGGTCAGAAGTGGCCCCTTCCCCCAGGGGGAAGAAAGCACGGTGGAAGCCTTCTTTTCTCCTGCCAGACACCTTGGACAGCTCTGAGGGCGTCCAGCGTACGCGCTGCCCGGGCCGGGGCGCGCAGCCCGGAGCCTGGCGTAGGGCGCCGAGGTCGCGCTCCGCACGGACGGCGCCGGCGATCGGCCCCCGGGTCTGCACGGCCGCCGCCGCCTCCACACACGCGGTCCCCGCTGTGCTGGCGGCGCCCGCACTCCACAGCTTTAATTTTTAGTCTCACTTGTTCTAGCTAACTTTTTTATAAGGTATGCATATACAGGGAAGTAATTTTGACAAAGTGGTTGAGGAGATAATAGAGGAAATCTGAAGATGATATTTTCAATCTCTGTAACTAGAAATCCTCAAGTCTTGTCTCTTCCCTCAGGTATTCGTTCTCTATTGCAGAATATCAGATATTATGTCAACAAATAAATGTGCACTTAAATTCATTTTATCTCCATCTCCAAAGCCATTATTCTCATTCAGACTTTCTTTATTTTGGTCATGCACTTTTAAGAAATTTTCTTTCCTCAATTCTCTTTGCCATTTCAATAGCTCTTAATCCTTGAACCTTTTCTTGAATGAACACAGCTGCACTCCTTGATTTCAAAAGCATCACATAGTAAAGAGTTACCATCTCCTCAAAAAAGGGAGTTCTGGTAGACTAGTGGGTAAAGAGTTGCACCACCATCCAAAAGTACGAGATTCAAATCCACCAGCTGTTCCATGGGACATAGATCGGTAAGGTTCTCCCATGTGGTTTACAGCTTCTGAAAATCCTCCAGCGGGTCAGCTAGGGGTCAGTTCTGAAGTGTCAGCAATGAGCTGTTTTTTTTGTTGTTTTTTTTTTTTAAATTCAGAGTCTGAGAATCTCTTCACTAATATTTATATTGATTATATGGTCAAGCAATGTGTGTCCAATTATTAAAGAAGTCAGGATTAAATGTGTTTCCAAGCCTACCCCTATTAATTAAAAAAAAAAAAAAAAGGAAGCCATCTGAATGCTGCCCTCAATTATAACATGCTCTACAGAACACTTCTGGAGATTTGAGACATGAAATAATTTTTTAAAGCAAGCTTCAGAAAAAAATACTTAACACATTGCCGCAAATGATGGCAAAATGTGTTTCTAAGCACAGCCTTCAATTTAAAAGTGTGTAGCAACGTGTTAAATGATTCAAATACAAGAAACTTTTATCTCTAACTCTATTTATCATCCAACGTGACTATGTATCTATACTCAAAGCATTAACTCAGATACTTTCAAACCTATGTTTCACGAAGTATTATCCATAACAGCTAAAAGGGATAAAATAATGCAACTGTCCCCCAAGAGATAAATCAATAAACAAAAGTGGTACATGCATATAATGGAATAATACAGACAGAAAATTGGTAAAATAACAGTATTTCGTTAGAATAACTATTTTTAAAAGGTAATTGGGATTTAAGGTTTGTATGCATTTCCTTATGTTCTATTCTTATATGCTGTAATACTGCATTAGGTTTGAGGTAAACTATGTTTTCAGACTAAAATCTCTAATCACTTTGTTCTCATCAGCTTGTCACCCTTTAATATTCGTTATACTAATTTAATGAACTCCATTCAAAGCACAGCATTTTCCTCAAGATTGGATAATGCAAAGGAAAAATGGGTAAAAGTGCTTTGACAACATTTTTTTGGAGCAGAGGCCCTTACCTCACCCAAAAAAATAATAAACTCCACACAACTAGGATTTTTGTTTAGTAATATAACTACACCAAATATAACAATGCCTGGTACATATTTGTTGGACAGATTTACTTTCCATGCATATTTCTGACTTAAACCCAAATGAATCATCATCAGATTTCTTTTTTAGATCTTTTTTCCCCCAAGAAGATGTTTAAAAAGAAAAACTGCACTGTATTGTTTTCAAAGAGAAATACTGTACAGTAACAATCAGTACTCTGCAGGTGAATAAAAGAAAAAGAAAAATCTTCTGCAGGGCAAAATTATACTACCTGGAAAAAAGAAAGAAAAGAGAAATCTGCAATAGTCATCACCACTTGTCTATAAATGTAACAAATAAGAGGGAGCTAGCAAATGACTGACTTTATAAAATTTTTTAAAATGCTTCCTTTGAGTACAGATACCCAAACTGGTGAGTTCTAAATGCATGTACAATTAACACTGTATTTTGTTCTCTGCACTGCACAAAGCATAATCATACGCCAAACAAACTATTTCCTTGACACAGATAACTATCACTGAAAGGCAGTAGGGGGAATGAGAAAACAGGAGATGAGGATAGTGGTAGTTCTCCAGTCGGTTGGGAAATACCAGACATTTATTCCTTACCTTATTAGCACGAATCTGTTTGTAAATATCCGTTTGCTGCCGAATTCGGTATTCCAAGTCAGAGACATGAGCCTGAAGCCAGTTCCAGCGGCTAACAATGGCTGCTCGGTCTGCAGCCCATTTCCATTCCGACCTGCGCCTCCTAAAAGGAAATAGACTGAGTGAAATCCCAGAGTAGCAGTAACATCCATAAAAAATGAGAAGCAGGGGTATGAAACTACCAAATATGTTTATTATAGAGATTAGTGTGAAGAATGACCCAAGATAATATGTTAAAGGACACACACTCACATACTCTCTCTCTCTGATGAAAGCCTCCACGGTCAGATACTGCCTAACAAATAACTAAAGAAAAGGATCTTTCTGTATTCAGATCCTGTGACAAATAATTTCTCTGAAACTGGTTTAATGTCTTAGAAGACAGAATTATTTACACTCTAAAATGAGACATATAGAAGAAATATGATTATCTAAGAGGATACATTATTACAGCTAGTCAAAACTTCAACAAGAGTACTTAATAAAGATCAAAATATGAAACCCAAATATGTATATGTCAACAAGAAAACCAGAAAGTAATATATTTTTTTAAAATAGGGCATTATTTCATAATGGTAACAAAACCCAAGATTATATAATAAAAGAATAAACATGGAAATAGCACCATACAATAATAGATCTAATAATAAAAGTAAAACTATAGATTGGAAGGAGAGATCTGTTAAAAACAGAATTCTTATTAATATAACACAAATTGTAAAATTATAAGATGACAACCTAACAGAAATGAGCAAATGAGGAAACATTAGAAAAACCCAATCCATCAATAAACCTGTAAAATATGCCAGCTTTCATCATAATTTAGTTCATAAAGTAACACTTTTTAAAAACATTAAGGTGTTATTTAAGATTTGAAAAATATCTGTCTGATAAGAGCAACTGTTGGTAAAAGAAGGAAGATACCAACTCATACAGTACTGATGATGTGGCACTGACACTTTTGAAGAGTATTTAAAAAGTATTCGGATCGGTGGAAAATGTGCACACCCCATTGTTAAATTGTGCTTCTAAGCCCGTAACGTGCATATTTATATGAGGTGGTAGAAGGTAGCAGAATCTACAATAGCTAAAATATAAGTTATGTTCAAATTCTGCTAAGTCATTCTCTAATACTACTATTTCTTTAATGAATGAACTTTTCTCTAGTAGTAACTATTTAATACCACCTAAGTATTAAGATATGCCAGATGAAAAAAAATCCAGTAAAGATGAACATAAACTAAATAATAAAGGGATTACTACAAATCAGGTAAGTATTAAGCCTACTAGAACAGTAGCACAACAAATTTAGGATTAGGATGTCTTCATTAAGTCTGAGAAGGCTGGATGTGAGCTGTAAATACAATTAGTATTTGGTTATCTTAAAAGGTCTAATAGAACTTTGTAACATTTTAACTTTTTCTTAAATGGCACAGGAGTATTTGGTGTCTATTTTATTTTATAAACAAAATAAATATTGCATACTTTACCACAAAATTATTAAAAAAAAAAAAGTCACTTTAACTCCACTTTCAATCATGACATCCATACATTTTACCAAAGTGAAGTTTACCATTGTTCAACCACACAGGAAATATAGTTAATTAATTAGTTAATAAAAGAATATGCCTCTTTATGCTAAAAGCAAACACCCATCTAACTACAGGGTAACTCAACCACAGTGATAATGTATTGATCAAAGTTTTCCTTTATTTAGAAACAATGATACATGATAAAAAGATTCTTTCTCTTAAACACTGAGTTTTACTCCAGAATTGACCCTGAACCCAGTGCCAGTGACAAAAAGGAAATACAACTGACAGCTAAGGAAGCAAAGGAGGAAGAAGCCTCTGGGTTCAACCAGCCATCCCCACTGGACCCACCTGGGAAAACACTTTGCAGTCCAGAGGGGAGCAAATGACAGGAAAATATCTTCTAACAGAGCAAGAAGGCAAGCAGCTTTAACCCAAGACCACCAGTAAGGTGATAAAGCGTCCTCCCTTCCCCCCTTTACATCTACACCCCTGTTCAGTATGAAGAAGCCAGAGAGTCGGCATCTGATTCCCAAATCAATAAGACAGTTGGTTTAATTACTATTGGAAAATGCTTGTCATTCCTCTGTAGCATCTGATCCTCACTGGACCCTCATCATCTCCTTCACCTGCTCCCCCTACCGACCAAACTGTGCAGCTCTGCAACTGCATCCTGGCCCATCCTCACCCTTCTGCCCCCAACTCTCACCTCCTTGTACCCCCAATATGTTTTTCCCAATTAAAAAAATTTGCTTAGGCAGTGCCTATACTGGGGGCAGGGGCGGGAGGTTGATAATATTTGAATGATACTGAGAAGATTAGCAAGGATGACATGCAAATTCATGAAGCCTTCCATATGTAGTTTGGTTGTTTTTTTTTTTTTAAAGGTTAAGTATAATGCTGTGAATATAAAAATAGCCTTTTTTAAAAAAAAGAAAAAGAGGCAAAGCTACTTACATCCTATTCCCTACTTTATTATCTCTCATCCATCTTCCTATTCGACAAAATCTGAGTTCTACAGATTTCTATTACTCCTAAAGCTACTACTACA